CAATTGGGGACTGGGGTTGGTCGGATAATTGAAAGGTCGGATAACCGAAAAGTATGAAAAAATCCATTATTAGTGTAGTATATTATTATATCCCATGTAATTAGTATATTAGTATATCGCTATTAACCTATTTCGCGTTGAATTTTCATCGATGTTAAGTCTAACAAAAATTTTTTAAAATAATAATCGTTGCTATTGTATCGTTAAAAATTAGAAAATTAAGCCTCGTTTAAATACTGGCTCCCTTTCATGGTCGAATGAGTGTTGCCAGCTAAAACACGTAAAAATAATAATAAAGTAGCCAAGACATAGCCAAATATTGTAGCGTCACATCACTAGCGGACATTTGAAATTTGCCGACTAGGACGGTCAGTTAACCGAGGTGTTGGTTAATCGGGGGTCGGATAATCGAGGCTCTACTGTAAATGTAATCTGAAGGTGCAATGTCAGGGCTATATGGTGGATGTGACAACACATCCCAACCTAGCTGAAATAATTTTTGGCGAGTGACCAAAGATGTGTGGGGCTTTGCTTTATTGTGCTGGAAAACCAACACCCTTACGATTTGCCAATTCTGGCCACTTTTCTTGAACTGCATCACTCAGTTTGGCAAGTTGTTGAACATACATGTTTGAATTAATCGTTTGGTTTCTTGGTAAAAGTTCAAAGTACAGAATTCCTTTATAATCCCACCTTAAGCATAATCCCTTTTTGGCGAATCTCAGTTTTTGGTGTCGTCTGGGCTGGTTCATCTTGCATCACCCACGATCTTTTCCGATTAACGTTGTTATAAACTATCCACTTTTCGTCGCCAGTAATCAGTTGTTTCAGAAATGGATGAATTTTGTTGCGTTTCAGAAGCAAATCACAGATGCTAATGCGTGGCATCAAATGAATTTCCTTAAGCTGATGAGAGACCCATAAATCCAGTTTCTTGACATAGCCAAGCTGTTTTAATTTTTTTTTAATGCATGTATGCGATACATTGAGCTTCTGTGCAATCTCACGCATTGTGCTATGACGATCTGAATTGATAATGGCCTTGATATGGGTCTCATCAACTTCAACTGGATGGCCAGATCGTTGAGCATTTTTCAGTGAAAAATCACCAGAACGAAATTTGGCAAACCAATTTTGACACTGCCTTTCTTTCAAGGGTTCATTCCCATATACGGCACATAACTTCTTGTGTGCTTGTGATGCATTCTTGCCTTTTCGGAAATAATACAATAAAATATGTCTGAAATGCACGTCTTGTTCTTCCATTTTTAAATTGGGATGAAAACGAAACTAAATAACTAATCAATACAATTTTTTTACTAAATTAAAGGTGAAAGTCCAAACAACAAGAAAACAATATAGGTTAGGTGCTTTGAACACAATGACAAAGCAAAAAAATGTGCTAAGGCAACCTATTGACAAAATCTGCAATCACTTACTTGCCAACCCAATATATATTGCAGCAAACAGAAGAAATTGTAAAAAAAAAAAAAAAAAACTTATTTTTAGCACCACAAAAGTATAGAATTGACTAGAAATGAATGCAAAAAGCATTAAATACTGCAAAATATTTTATTTTAGTAATTTATTTGCACACCTCCTTCACTAATAACATCGAAAATGTGATTTGGCATGCTATCAACAAGGTTTTTTTTATAATCAATATCTCAAGGGAGTTCCAAGCAGTGACAATTGCTTGGTTTAAGTGTTCAATGTCGGCATACTGTGATTTTGCTCATAAATTCGGTCAATCAAGATTTCCCAAACATTTTCTACAGGATTGCAATTAGGAGAACAAACTGGTCAATTTATTTATTTTCAAACGATTGTTTTGTATCTTGTGATACATGGATAGATGTGTTGTTCTGTTGGAAAATAACAGAAATTCTTCTGAATCTATGTTTGTACGGCAACAATTTGTTCTCCAGAACTTGTTGATAGTCGACACTGTTCATGCGACAGGTAATGAATGCCAAATCCGATTCCCTCTACTGAAGTTCCTTCACGAAAAGTACTTGGGCTCTTTTTGTAAATCACTCAGTAGATTTACAAAAAGATGGCACTAAACAATCTGGTCCATCCAAATCAAATTTTTTTTTTCATCCGAAAAGATTACATATACAACAAAAGGGTTGTTATTTCTTGTGCTAGCACAATAGGTCTAAACGAAACAAAAAACTTACCTTATTCCATTGAGTGGCCATATTTTTCCTAGCAAAATCAAGTCAGGCAGTTTGTGCTCAGGCTTCTCATTTGAGATTGAACAATGTTATTGTTGCTGTGTAAAACCCTTAAAACGATTTCGTGATATACTTGAATACCCAAATTATCCTGAATTTGATGCAAAGATGTGGTAGATTAGAGGCTGCATTAATAATTTGTCTGCGGTCTCACAGTGTAAGCTATGAAGGATGTCCACCTTTATGCTTTGATCCATAATTTGCACGATTTTACAAATAATGCTGAACTCCCTTTTTCGAATGCTTCATGCTGTTTGCTACTGCCTGATGACTTAAACCGGTGCTACTCAAAGCCACAAATTGTTCTTTCTTAAAGTCTGTTAAATGGGTACCACGAGGCATGATGAAAAAAAATACTTTCACATTTCAAACTTGTGAGAAAGATGGTGGTTCTGTACTTATGTGGCAGTATTTAAATCGACTTCATCGCTATTCTGCAGTCAGCCTTGAATTAGACGCTCAAGTTTCCTAAAATTACATTTTTATAAGTTAGGTACTGAATTATGCATAAAAAAAATCTATTTCTATCTATCAGTGCATGTTCTGACCTCAAAAGACCAATTTTTTGAGCAGTTCTATACTTTTGTGGAGCACCTTATATGCATACACAGTAGATTCTGCTTTCTTGGGTCATATTGGAGAGTAGATCATTCAACCCAATAATGCAGGTAGACATTATCCCAATAAGATGGAGGGAAAAAGTTCTTTCAATGGTAGTCTACTGAACATGTATAATAATGTATAAAATAAAAAGGGACGTTTACTAAAAAATAAATTAAAGACAGAATGTTTATTTTTATTAAAATATTTGAAAGGCACTGGAAGTGAAGATGGAAAAGCAAAAGTAGGGAACACACCACCACCTGCCCACAAGACATAGTGTGGTTATGTTTGAACTTTTAAATAAGCAATGATAAACAAACATACAAATTTTATTAGCTCAGTAAACTGCCAAATATAAGTTCATATAGTTCAAAAAATAGCAACTAGCTAAATCAGTGGTTCCCAACCTTTTTTCATTAGCGTACCCCGTGACATGTCATATCTCTAGATTGTACCCCGTGACATGTCATATCTCTAGATTGTACCCCGTGACATGTCATATCTCTAGATTGTACCCCGTGACATGTCATATCTCTAGATTGTACCCCGTGACATGTCATATCTCTAGATTGTACCCCGTGACATGTCATATCTCTAGATTGTACCCCGTGACATGTCATATCTCTAGATTGTACCCCGTGACATGTCATATCTCTAGATTGTACCCCGTGACATGTCATATCTCTAGATTGTACCCCGTGACATGTCATATCTCTAGATTGTACCCCTCATTTAAGAAATTTAGTGAGTAACCGTATTGTTAATTTTACATATTGTAACTTTAAATTAAAGAAAAAAAACCTAAAAGAAAAAATGTATAATAAAGTTGTGATTGTTGCAAGGAACATTTTTTATCTAATAATTTTTTAATACTATTAGTTTGTGATACATAATATATTATTTTTTCTGCCATAATAACTAACTTTTTTCTGTACCCCTAAACAACCTATCGCGTACCCCTAGGGGTACGCGTACCACAGGTTGGGAATCTCTGAGCTAAATTATAAAAGATACAGATTTTTAAAATTAATATTAAAAATGTAAATCCACAAAAAACAATGTTTATTGTGGGAATGAACATTTTTGACCATGTACTGTACAATGGTCATCTTCAGGTTCTAAAATGGAAGTAATGAACAGAAAGCACATTTTAATTTCAAATGTGCTTCCTGTTCTATTCATTAATTCCATTTTAGAACCTGAAGATGGCCATTGTACTGGGTCGGAAATGTTCGTTCCCATAATAAAAATTGTTTTTCTGGATTTAAAGTTTTTTGATATTAATTTATCAAAATGTAATGTATTAACTTTAGTTAATACATACAGTTTTTGGAGTTTTGCAGATATAGGATATTTAATTTTTCAGTAGCCAAAACTGGCTTTAAGTAGTTGCCCAACTTGGCAACCTTGATTGTCTTTCACTAGGAATATGTGTAGGTGGCAAGCAGTTAAGTAAGCAAATCAGTGATGATATCTGTTAAATATGAAATAGATTAAGCCATTGGTTTGCTTACTTAGCTGTTGCCACAGTTTCTTCTAGGAACCTCCTTCAAAGTTCAAACTGCTTTGGATAAACAGAGCAGATCAAGCAGATACCAAAAGTGTTTTGTCTCTGTTCCAATCTAACTTCTTTTAGGTCTAGCAAATTCAAGAATATCTATAGAGTATCATTTTTCACTTTAACTTGTGATAATTGATATAATTGCAATGTAAGCTAGAGGCACACTATCTATAGCAGACGTGGGCAAATGCAGCTCTCAGAGCTGCATTTGCCCACGTCTGCTATAGATAATGCAACTCTTTTTGAGTTACATGCGGTTCTTGCTGAAAGTGTTAATTTCTGCTTTTTATTATTATTTTTACAATTTTGTGAAAATATGTTTATTAAAAAAATTCAATAATTGTTTTATAGTATGTAATAAAATCGCAATACAGAACTGCGGCTCCCATGCATTTTGCAAAACCTACATTTCAGCTCTCACTGAACTCTTGCTTGCCCATCCCTGGTCTATAGTTTGCCATTCAAATTACAGTTGTCACTGTTTCAAATAAGAGTGAGTAGACCCAAATAAGCAGCACAAATTTAAATTAAATAGATTATTTCTTTCTATTCTCTACATTTTGGTCCAAATGAACAGCTATTCCAATTAACCTGCAGTCCAATCTGCTATATAGCATTAGGTATGCATATATATATAATAGATTTTAACAATATTAAAACCAATTAAATAAGATTAAAGCTTTTCCTACAAGTTCTGCCATGTTCAATAAATATTTCTCCTTATTACTCTAAAATTGGAATCATCCATCATGTATTTATACAATATGCATGACTGAAATGTATCTGGGAAGTGTAGTTTTTATGCAATCATTGAAGTAAAAAGATAATGCAATGAGCTAATATCAAATTCTGCAGCATTTACATAAATGTCCTCCTGATGTCTTAAAAATTATATGAAAAGAATATGAAGCAATCAAAAGTGTTTGAGTAGTTTAAGAGGTTCTAGAAAGGCCAAAAATTACTTGAAGACAATGTGACTGACAGCAGAAAAAGTTGGAATTTCAATTGGAAATTGTCATGCAGTTCTAACAGATGATCTGAACATGTACAGTCAGAAACAAATGAGTGTTATTGATTACCTCACTGATGCAATTGACAAGGACCTGCCACTTCTACAAAAAATCATCACTAGAGATGAAATGTAGTGTTTTCTTTATGATTCTGAAATCAAATGTCAATCATTCATGTGGAAGTTTCCATCTTCTCCAAGAATCAAATGATTCCACCTGGATTATGCAAAGGATAAGGTAATAATGGACCTGTTTTTTTGACTAGAAAGGCATTTTTCATTCTGCAATTACTACAGTAAATAAGGAGCATATCTGCAATTATTATGACATTTAAGAGAAGCAATTCATGTAAAGTGCCCAGAACAATGGGCAGCTAAGGACTGGATATTCTTTCACAATAACCATGGTCCACCATTCACTTTTTGTTGAAAATTATTTGGCTAAAATGAACACAACACTGCTTTCATACCTGCATATTGATAATTCTTTGAAAATAGCTATATTTAAAATATTTTCATATTAATATATTTTGGCAATACCGTGTTAGTCTCAGAACTTTTGAACTTATCAGATGTGTATGTGGTTTATCAGATGGACATGTTGGTGTGTGACGTGAAGTGTGAGGCTCTGTGGATATTGTGCTGTGTGAACTTTCCCAAACCAAGGCTGAGAAGAAACTGGAAGATTAGAGGAAAGTTTTGAAAGAAAGAGGCATGAAGATTAGCAGAACTAAAACAGCTTATATGACTCTGAATGGTAGAGGCGAGTATAATATTAAAATCCAAAATGTGCTGCTCCCTTTTTGTTCTGAATTTTAAATATCTTGGGACATTTGTTGAGATGGGAGGAGGATTGAACTCGGAGGTGCGTCATAGAATTCAATGTGGATGGATGAACTGGAGGAAGCTGAGCAGTGTGCTATGCGACAAGGAAGTTAGCTGCAGTCTGAAAGGAAAATTGTATAAATCAGTTGTTAGACCTGCAATGTTATATGGAGCTGAGACATGGGCAATAACAAGAGCCCAAGAAAGAAAGATAGAGATGGCAGAGATATGAATGTTGAGATGGATGTGTGGAGTGTCAAGGAAGGATAGAATAAGGAATGATTTTATTAGAGGTTCTGTTAAGGTGGGCCTCTTGAGCAAAAAGATGCAAGAATGTAGGCTGAGGCGATTTGTCCATGTAGAGTAAAGAAACAATTATGTTGGAAAGATCGGAAACTGGTAGTAAAAGGAAAGAGGAAGACCAAAGATGTGTTGGAAGAAGACTTAACCAGAGGAGACTTAAGAGAGAAGAAGCCCTTGATAGGGAGAAATGGAGAAAACATATTAGAGAAGGAAATGCCGACCCCACATAAACGTGGGAAAAGATGAAGATAAATAAGTGTGTATGTAAAACCTGTGTAATATGGATTCTCTACGAAATGACCTAAATGGAAAATAAATCTCAGAATGAAACAATTTTCTATGTAAAATACTATTATAATTCAGAAACCTATGCTTCACAGAAACACAGTAGAAGACTTTGGAATCACTTGTATGACATAACCTGTAAAGCAGAATTGTTTTGACATAACAACAGCAAAATTCTAAATGATTAAGACATTCCAAGGATATTGGGTTTTTATGCAGATTTTTTCCTTTGTGCACCAAATACACATTTAGTGGTGGATGGGGCCATTGAGAAGTCAGGAAATTCCATAGGTGCTGGTATAGTCAGGCTTCAATGTGCTGTCACTGGGAGATCTAAATTTTTATTATATAATTTCAATTAAAATGTAATATGTGAATTGACCATTCAACATATTGATTCTTAGGTACCTATACTAGTGGCTTACACAAAGTATTACTGTGGGCTTACTTCATATTGTTTCTTTTTCTAGAATATTTGTTATTAATGTACAGTACATATTGCCAGATATGTTGAATATGCTGAAGAATAATTCAGGACTTTTTGGGATATTCCAATTTTATTTGAATAATCTTTAAAAATATCTGTAATATCTAATATTTATCTACTTAATGTCATTATTTGATTGAAATCAGCAGATTGATAAATGTGGTTGAAAATCATAGATCTGGCAACTAATTTCAAATATGACAACAGAAATATATTAATATAAAGAATAGATTAAAATCAACCTTGACTCAAAGCTGAGTAAATGCTTGGAGTGCTAAAATTTCTGCTATCCAAGCTTCCATAAAAGTTGTGATGCTTATCTTTATTCAGTCTAGCTGTCCTCTCTTGTTAAATTTAACAATTACAAATGAATTAACTTAAATGTTGGAATATTCTAAAAGCTGTGAGTGACCAATACAGTTGTTTTATAGATCTATATAAAATAGTTAATTAATTAGTGTGGAAGTAAAGATCAGACAGGAAATCCAGTAGCATAATTGGTAACATGTCTGCTTGGTAAGCAGGAGTTGCAGATTCAAAGTCCTACTCCAGACTGATTTTTTCTTCCAGAATATTCTAAAATTAAATTTATTTATTTATAATTATTAAATTTAACAGGAGATAGTGGTCAGTTAGACCAGTATCCTTCTAGTTTAACATACATACTTCTTTATCTTTGCCTTTTCCCTTGTTTATATGGGGTTGGTGTTTCCTTCTAGGGCTATTAAGGCTAAATAATTATTAACTAATTTGGCAGGAGATAGGAAGAACTTTATTCATTTGTTAAGATCAAAACTTAATCTACATGAACCACTACTTGAGATTGCTGTATTTTGCTAGTTAAACTGAAGTCTCTCATGAAAACTTGTATTTGAGCCTACAATGCATTATTTTGGCATTATGTTTTGTTCATTAGTAGATGTGAGTACTTACTTGACCACTTTGCTAAAAAATTTTAAATTGAGACAATGATCATTAAATTGAAAATGACTATACAGCATTTCAATTTTTTCCACTTTACATTTGTGATACTACATTATATCATTACTTTGTATTTTCCATTTAAAAAATTAAACAATAGTATATATCATTGGAGGTTTTCAAGTATTCCAATGTTTGTATTGCTGAATGAAATTGTCTTTGCACATACAGTCGATCCCCCTATAACTCAGTAGATACATTCCACTTTATAAGAATTTCACGTTGTAGGAATCCTTAAATACATGAGCCAATCACAGCCCGACACATGTTAAGTTTATGGACTATGGCTGTTTGAAAGGTTTTCTTCCATAAAATTAATCGATTCTAGACTAATTTGACTCAACATTTCCAAAACACGTATAATTTTTTGGGAATAATCCATATAAACTATGCTATAAACAACAAATTGTAGGATTACTTACCGAGTGTGCACCGTTCGACGTCGCCATCGCTCAAGCTTGTTTTCATTGCGGAGCAGCGCACCAAACCACGCCCACAATTTCTGATAAGTTATTTTTCTGCGAAAAATTTGTTGAACTTTGGAGACATCATTAATAGAAATAATTTTTATGGCCGTTGAATAAGAAATGTTTTTTTCACAAGAAATGTATAAAATTACAGACTTACAGTACCTAATTTATATACTGTACAGACAATAGTAAACTCAACTTACCCGCCTAAACTCTCTGTAGCATGTAAGTAGTTCGGCTGCTCGTCCACTATTGGTCCAGATTAGATCAATCCTGTCGTGACACGAGTCGGTGATGACGTTTTATCGCATTTTACGAGTCTCTTTTAGCATCTTTATACGAATACAGTTGCAATTTTTTCGCTGCAATGTAGAAACTGCATTATATGAACTCATATTATAGGGGGGTCGACTGTATATTAATTATGTATAAAAATTAAAAAATAATTTTATTCATATTGTATTGTTTTACATTAGAATTCCATTAAAACTTTTAACTTTTTACAAGTAATCTACTCAAATTCTACTTGTTTATATTAATATTTTAGTGTGATAGTGAATGAGAATTTATTCATGTTGTAACAGATCTTATGCTAGGTATAATACAAACTAGAAATAGTTTGTACTTGGTCTAACAGATAGTTCCATAAATATGCCATGGGCTTAATTACAGAAACTGAATGACATTAATGCAATGACTACATACTATAGTCATCAATAGTTTACAAGGTTTTAGTCACATGGTGGCTAAAACCTTGTTTGTATTACAGGTTACGTTATCATTTGCTTAAAAATGAAAGCCAAAATGTATTTGTTTTCTTATTTTTATCAGAGTTTTTAGACATTATTAGCCAAAACTTTACTTAAACATTTGACCAAAATTTATTATTAAAAACCAGTTTGTTCCATTCTGGGTTTGAGTCTAAATTAGGAACTTTGGGAATTTTTTTATAATTTATATTCTTGTTTGTAGCAGCTATCTTGAATTTTGTCTTTAGTGCTTTATTAACTTTCAGTCTTGTACATTTAAAAAAGATTTTTTGCAAACTACCTAAATTTTCCTGTAGGTATTTTTTTATAATTTGTGTTATATATTATTCAAAACTTGATTTTTGAATAACTTCAGTATAGCATAGAGAATTTTATAATAGACCTAAATTCATGATATACATAAATTTAATGAGGATCAAATATCTGGCAATCTTGTGACCAGAAGTGATCCAGATTTCTAGATACATACTAAATATATATTTAAAATATAAAATAAACAATGGAAAGTGAAGAACAAAATTTAATGCCGGCCAGTGCTGCCACTATACCCTCTCCAAAATATCAGGTTCTAAGGTAATCCACCAAAATTTTTACCATTCTCTGTCTCCAAAAAATCTGTAGTTATCTATGTTAATTATGTTAATTCTGAAATCTGGTCATTCCATCATGTACCTAATTGAATAAATCTAAATCTAACCAGTACTTCCTCTGAATTGGAAATGATTTAGAGATGTTCCTCTAATTAGAACCTGTTTCTGAATTTAGCAACTTTCACTTACATAATTGAATACATTTAAAAATTTTATATAGATTGTAATGCAGAAAAAGCATCTGGTATGTTTAAGTGTTCATTCAAAATATTGTAAATATCATTGTCTTCATCAATATCTGGTGTTTTGCATATTCAGTTTTTGTGTTGTTTTCTAATATCAACAATCTTTGCATCTTGTAATTGTATCTGACGTCATGACATAATCATCATCATCATCATCATATGTAGATGATGATGATCTGCACATCAAAAGCCATAAATGCATGACATACTCTAAATGAACAAATTTGTTCTTCTATGCCAGGCAAAACGTTGTGTGTTTTAGTTTTCTTTCAGCAGAAGTTAATTGAGCTGTTGAAAATGAAAGTGGTTTATGTCTATTTATTTTTAAATTGATGTATTAAAGATTTGTGTTTGTATTGATTCAAAAATATCAATAATTGTTAATATGTTGATATTATGTTTTCTGATTTTAAATATATCAAATACTACTACTTAAAAATGGGTGTACTTGAACTAAAATCATTAAAAAACTAATATCCGTCAGAGAAAAGTTTGGAAGTGCTAATGTTTTCACATATGTTGAATGGGCATCATCAGGTAAACTAATCCTACAGCTGCTGAAACATTGGGAGATTGCCATACATGTTTGAAGAGGGAAGGATAGTATGATTTATAGTTTGAAGAAAGACATCCTCACTGTGGGGAAGCCTCACAGCGCGGAAGTCTTTGTTTGAACTATAAATCAGGAGTCAACGTCGCAAAAATTAATAGCAGTGTTATTGCAGGTGGCCTTATAAATTTCCACCTGCTCAAGATGTTTGAGAAAGGGTTACTGGGAACAGCTATGTAAGAAGCGTACTTAGTTGATACTCTGCTAGATATTAGGTTTTTTAGTGGTTTTAGTTTTAAATATGTCTTAAAGTTTATAAAATGTTCACATAGAAGTGTAACTAATGTCATCATTAACTTGATTTTTTTTTAATGGACTTAAAGCACTTATTTGTAATGGTTCAAAAATCTATCTTTACCAAAGCATTTTCTGATTGTCTCTGAAATGCCACATCTTAGCAAATGCTGTAGTTCTGTAAAAATTTAGAGCATTTTTTCCCTCAA